AAGCGGTATTCGTGCGAAAATCTTAGAGCAAAAACACACACAAACACAGAAAAATGTCTGAAGTAGTAACCCCTTTAAGAAAGCTCGATTTTCACACAAAATTAAGGTAAAAATAAAGCATTCATCAACCTATGAAAGCTTTAATAGTTAAAAAGTAAAAAAAATCGTCTAAGATGTCTTCATTTGGTTCGTCTTACAAGTCAGCAGATTTCCTGCATCTTGCATCCAATTTAAGATTTTCCACATTTGAAACTCTGGTACTAAAGATATTGCTGACACATCGCGTAATATTTGAAAGTTTTAAAATTTCTTGACCGGGAATATCGTTTTGGTTAATTTTAGTACATACTTGTATATGTTAAAATGACTAAAACGCAACAATTAAATTATTTTTAAATAAAACTGGGCTGTTTCTTTAGTTTACAGCCATAAAACTTGCATATTTCTAACCGATTTTCATATATTAAGGTCCAATAACGCTTTACTAATTACAAACCAACTTTTTTTTCGTCAATAAACGAAAGTCTGCCAAAAATTTGAAACAGATAAAAAAAATGTTCCTTGACTTTGACACTTACATAAATGTAAGCACGTACCAGGGGAGCAGCGGTGTAGTGGAGTAGGTGTGTAACAGCTTACCGCGACGCCTCAACTGATAAGACAATGTACGCTCAGCGTCACAAGACGTCTCAGATTTTTTTGTCGATTAGCGGCAGTTAACAAATATGTACATTGGAATAGCGACTTTGTGGCCTTCGAAATAAGTGCCATTCTTAGATAACTAAATAAACTTAAATAGCTACTATTTTGGTATTCGTTCTTTAGTATTATATTGAATATTTTTTTTATGAAAAATCTTTTGTCACATAATGAATTTATTGCTGACTGTACACATTGCCGAGTATCTTCCTTCGGTGATCTCACATTGCGGACTGGAAGGGGGGCGCTGTCATCGGGCGGACGTAAATATGACCCACATAGTGATGGCCATTAACACTTCACTGAAACCGGTTTTAAATAACTGCGTTAACGATTTGTGTTATAAATTTAACCATAAACTAAATAGTATTACGTAGAAACACTAAGTACGATACGTCAGGCAAATTCTACATTTTGTTGTGTACAGCCTATACCATTTTGACACAATAGCATTCATACAAGTTTATTGAAATCCGTGTGTAATATTCGAAGATAGACAAGTTTCGTGCCTTGTTTAAAAAAACAGCTGGCAAAGAAAAATCTCAGTAGAGTTCATTAAATGGCTGACCACTGCAGATGGTACGCATAAAATATAATTGAAATAATCGATCACCCGACAGATGTGAGCCGCTAGATGCCGCTATAGAGAATTCCGCTTCTAGAAATTTCCAATCGTTCTTACACTATCAATCTTAATTTACGCGTTCTAATTAATTAAAAAGTCAAAAAACAGCTGTTGTTGCAACATTATTACACGGTTAGCAGACAAAAGGTTTCAAATTCGTATTTCATAAACATTTTGTTTATAGTTTCGTAAAATTGTTAGAAATTTCACATCCTTATGCAATGGATATGCTCCTGTTTATCTATTGACTTCTGCAACTCTGGTAACTAGAAAATCAAATGTTACATATTTTTGTTGCATTGCTGTCATCCTGGTACGTAAGAAATTGTTACTCCGACAATGGTTGATCGAGAAACGAGTGTTTTAATTCCAAAGTGCGTAAAACTACGTAAGACTATTGGAAGATTTATGAGTATATAATAATACTAGAAACTAAATACAAAAAATGTAGTCTGTAATTAGAACATAATCTAGTAACCCAATAAATAAAAAAATAAATTGTACTAAATCTTTATTTTTATTGAACCATTTACCAATACAGTAGAACGCCATCTGTTGCCGTATTGTGTCTTATCAGTAAAAATACTTCATACAAAGTAATTGAAGTTACCTCCTAACAACTCATAGTGCCCTGGTATATCGTGGAAATAATGACGTAACGTAACGTTTCTGTTGTGATTCCAACTCTGTGTGGATCCTTTCTTCTCATTTGTTTACAATGATCGAAATAAATTAAAATAAATTAAAAATAGAGATTAAAAATTAACCAAAAATACGTATAGTGCTCGTTAAAATATTGTTTATAATTAAGAAAATTACAAAAATAATATCAAAAATCCTTAAGAATCTCAGTTAGATTTGCATTGAAGTTCGGTAACATAGAGAAAGCACACACAAACCAGAACACGTTTGATGCCATACATTCCGTGCCAGCGCCTTTCGACCTCCATTAGCGTTATGCGCGCCTAGTAACATGCGCACACTTCGCGCAAGCGTCCGCCCAACGCGCACCGTTATGATGCGCGTGCGCGCGTCATTTCTTCAAAACCAAAACGTACTAACACTGTTCAGATTTAACAGAATTTGTACTCTATTTTGATGATGTTAGAGTTTATTTTAAAACTGTTACATATACTCAAGCAAAGTTTAACACGATCACTGTATAATCAAATCTATACTTTAAACAAATCTAGTTAGGTCTATTTTCGTTTGCATTGAATTTTGTTGACACTACAAAAACGCGGATAGCGTTGGTTTTGTAAAAAGTATTGTATGTACGAACCTGTATGCTATACCAGTAGTTGGGACTGCTCTGTGGTTTTTGGTGTGACAATAATTCTGTCTGGGTTCAATTGTCGTTTATCTTAATTATTTCAGTGTAGGTGTAAAATAGTTAAGAAAAGAGTTAATGACAGCTACACACGTTCAGTTTTATCTACACAGATAAACAGACTGAATGTAGAGTACACAATAATTTTCAACAATCTCTATTACATTCGAATGCTCAACAAAAGGTAATGCTAGTCATAGAACACAGGTGCGTATTTCACATACAAGAGTGTGCAATTTCAAAAACACGTAGTGAAGAGTTAGCAAC